CTCTCTTAGTGCCCTCAATCTCAAAAAGATCTTAACTCTCCAGTCCTTATGGTTTCTGCCCTCATTTATGTATGCATAGATTTATGCATTTATTCAATTAACTGCCAACATAACTAAATGAGGCATTGGAAATCAGTGACAGATCCATGTGACCAGTCCATCAAAGGGGAAGAAACAGAATTAGCTATTGATTGCTTTGTTTCATAGGAGGGCAATGATAGTCCAACTTCTGTGTTCTAAGGAACACATATTGCTTTTCTCTCCAGGAAAAAACATGGTGGGTGTTTGAGATATTTTCTGACAAAATCAAATACAGTCAGCTTCTTCTGATTTCTTATTAGCATCTTAGATTTTGCCCTGCTCCTACTGTGTCATGCCATCATGGTAACTTATTCTGAATTAGCCCAGATTTTATCTAGTTTTATCTTCTTCTTCTCAGCCTACCCTTGCTCTCTACCAGCTCTATCTCACCACTGTTCTTAGCAGTGTTGGTTCCTTTCATGATTTCAACTCAACTGCATACAAGCCAGTTAAATTCAGTTCCCATTCATGTGCCTTTTGCAGTTTGAGGAGGCTTCAAAATGCAAGAACTCTGTCTGAGGAGCTTCCAGTCAATCAAGTAGGGGAGACATATGTATAAGAAAAAGCAGCAGAACTGGACCAGAGTTACAGAGCTCAGACTAAACTGAGAAGGAAGCACAGCCTTGGCGCAATATTCCAAGTATCTGAAGGTCCAAGCTATCCTTGCTGCCTCCCATCTGTATATAAATATAAGCTTAAACGAATGATTTAATTTGACAATTACTAGCATCTGGTAATTATGTCATATTTTTATCCTGTGGAGCAGTGTTATAATCAGAAAGGTTTGTCACTGGACTGAAGTGCATACACAAAGCCCTGGGTTCAATCCCCAGTATGGTATAAACCATATGTGGTGGTGCCCACCCACAATCTCAGGACTCAGGTAAGAAAGGCAGGAGGCAGGAGGATCAGAAGTTGAAGATCATCCTCCCAGGCTACCTAGAGACTTTAAGGCCAGCCTGCGCTATTTGAAACCCTGTATCAAAAATAAATGAATTTTTAAAAAAACACCAAAAACCCTGTCATTGGAGCCAAAGACTAGCTTTTGCTTTTGCTAAGTAACATGTCATTAAGTGAGTTTTTAAACCTCTTGTTCCCTTGGCTATATAGTAGGGGCAGTACTTTTGTCATGGGGACAAAATCAGACACAGCCACACATACTTTCTTTCCTAGCAATGTTCCATAGCCTTCACTAACCCTGTCCAAACTGAAGGTAAAACCAGCAGAGCAGCCAGACCCTCTGAGAACAGCTACTCATATGCCATCATTCATTTTAACTGCCTTCCACATTATGGTTGTCACCTCACTGATAGTAAGACACAAGGCAGGCATGTAGAAAAGTTCGCCCATGGAAACTTTTTCATTTTCCAGACTTATTATCAATTTCTCTGAAACAAAAATTCTTTCAAAGCTAGACAGACTTTGTCTAATTTCCACTAAAAGAAATGTAGCTTTCCCACATCCTCAGGAAAGCTAGTATGGGCTACCTAGTGAGTTCAAGGTGAGCCTAGGTAACTTAACAAGACCGTGTCTCAAATACAAATAAAAAAGACCCAGAGTATGGGAATACAGAGAAAAAGAATAAGAAAAGGAGGAAAGAAACTATTCTTCATAGCAACGAGGAAACAAATGCATCATTCTGCCATCACTTCCTCACTGAAGACCGGAACTATTCCTGTCCCATGATGCTTTGTACTTCTCTTATCTTTGTTCTCTCCGTTGCCTCCCTTTTCCCTCATGCTCATCCCCCACCCCCCCACCCCACCCCACCCCCACCCCCCCTCTTCTCCTCTTAATTTTAAAAATATTCAGCAGGTACCTCGAGATTTTCTTTTCAGTTTCCCACCCCACACACACCCCTCCTCTTCTCTTCTGAATGTTAAAAATATCCAGCAGGTACCTAGTGATTTTCTTTCTAGTAGACCCCACTTTCATCTAAGATATCCAAACTCCAAGAATCTGGAAGAACAGCCTGCTATTTGGGGTGGTGAGAAAGATGGAAGGGTCTCAAGTGTTTGAGTCTGTGCTGAGCCCCATATATGCTGTGCACTTAATGTGAAACCAGCTCACCACTGGCTTAATTCTTCAGAAAGAGAAAAACCCATAAAACTAAACTATAATCAGACTTATGAGAAAAGTAGCTTGGACAGTACATTGATACTAATGTGCTGAAAATCAAAGATCAGCACACGTTTCCTAGTTAAGATGTCTCAGATTGACACACTTGTGAATTCGGTAAGCACCCCCACCTTAGTCTCCCCAAGAGCAGAATGAGTGATATCCCTCAAAGGAAACAGACACATTCTAACAAGCAATTCCTGATCAATGAGCTTTTCCTGAAGTTGTGCTTTGAAAGCAGTCCTGTCTTAAGCTTTTGTCCTGCTTCAAATCCTGCAAGTTCAGGATGGTGATTTTTTTGTGAGGGGCCAACAGGGAGTTTGAAATGAACCCTCTGACGCAGTCCTCAAGAGGGTGCTGTGGTGGGGTAACACTTCCCAGGCAGCTGATTACTTCCTAGTACACTCTGAGAATACACCCTGCCTAGGACATTCATCACAAAGGCCCACGTGTGACCTTAGGAAAAATCCTTGAGGTCAGTGAAAAAAGAGTCTCTGTTGAAATCTGGAATCCATCCCCTTCTCACACAGGAAGAAATTAGGCATAGAACAACAAAGCCCACAGTTCAGCGAAAACTGGGAGGCTCTGGCTGATGGTAAAGCCATGGCATATATTTTTTTCTTCACTACTTGGTATTTCATAAAAGCTTTTCATCTGTGTAGCACCAAAGATGCTAGAAAGTACTATATGATCAATACATGCCAATAACTGTAAGGAGGGACTACAGTGAGCAGAATCAGATTAGAGATGCTGACTGGCAAATTCAAGTTTACCTAACAGTTTTCTAAACTGCTATATAAATCATATTCTGACAAACATAAGTGGCCAGTACTACTGTTTCTCCCTTTGAAATAAGGAATTGATCATAGCAGAGGCAGTAGAGATGAGAGCTAGAGCTGGAGATAAAAGCTGTGCTCTCCAGGCCCCAGCTCTGAGATCGAGTTCATAAGCCTGGACATCACCAGCCTGGAAATATTTACGCACTTAGAGCATGAATCAGCAGAGTGGTGAGCTTGCTCAATGCATTTAGCTCAGCATGCATTTGGGGGCTAACACTATTTTTATAAGAGAAAGCCCATTCCCTTTTGTTTCCAGATGACATTACTCACAACTAATTTGCCTTTCCGTATGATTTATTTCATATGTGTAAATAATTATAAACCTGTGCTACCTTTGGAGGCATTTTTTTTTTCCTTTGGCAGCAAGAGGAGAGGTAAGACATTATCTTAGTAGAATAGCAACACAAAATTCACTGAAAATCAGTTGGTGAGAACATATGGTTTGAAATTATGTTTCACAATCCATCTCTCCTTTGTCTGAAAGGTTTCTCAAGAGGGACAGACCTCAAGCTAGAAAGAAGACTGAAGAATCATCCAGCAGGGGGACAGAAGGTGTCAGACACAGACCCAACATAGTTACTCATGTATTCATAAAGAACTTAATTTCATTTCTTCTTAAGTACCTTCACAGTTCAGTTTTTATTTCCCCTTTAAAAAAATAGGTAAATGGCATTACTTTGGTCTCCAAAACAGATGCCAATTTGAACTTTATTCTGCCAGCAAGTATTTGGTTTGGCTCTGCAGGGCTTGAGTTGAAAAATATTTGCCAATTCCAAAAAGATTTAATGAGCTTTGTTGCAGATGCTGTGCCATCTGGCACATCATGGGGCTGTGGCAGAGCAGAGTGCTCTCTTGCCCACAGATTTCATTTGCCTAGGGTAGGCAACACTGGGCATTCAGCTGATTCTTGGGGTCAAGAAGCTACAGGTCAAATAAGTGAGGTTTCCAAAGGAAGTGGATAGTGTACGCTGGGAGGTGGGGGTTTTGGGACTGGGGCTGACTCCCATGTGGGCATGAAGGATAATGTCAGAATGGTCCACAGCATCCTCACACTGACCATCACACATAGTCCTTGATGCTGCCAGCCAGCATTCCAGATACATCACACACTTTCAGAAAAAAACTATTTTTATCCAATATCAGATACTTAAAAACAAACAAAAAAACAAAAAACCCACAAAAACAACAACAAAGGACCCAAACAGAAAAACAACACACAAGCAACAACAAACCACTGTGGTGTATTTAACTATCTATATGAACTATGGCATTAAAATTTAACTATCTCAAACCCGAATGAACTTCTTAAACAGAAATTTCGCTTTATATTGCAAATATAGACAGAGCTGGCTTTATTAATATCTGGTATAATATAGATGCACAAATCCATCACAACATGTTGAAAGACTGGCCTCACTACCCCCAAAGTCACAGGTTGAAAGTCACTGAAGGCCTGGCATCTGAAACCAGCGCAGGTTGCAAGGAAACAAGATTCTTATCCTTCCAAACCAATGTCACATCTGAGAACTATGTTAAAAAATGCAAAGTGTTTCCATATTGATGTGTGCTTAGGAATCAACGGTCTGTTTTAATGCCATGGGGATAGTGGGGGTGACACTGAGGGGAGCTCTGAAATATTTTTGTTATTTCCTATAATGAGCAGCTATACACATACTTGGGTATATATCTCACCCCAACTCCAGCACACTTCTCCAAAGTTCTCAGTGTCCCTTAACATCACATGTCATTCTGGTACTTGAGACCTGATTATTTGATGCCAAGAGCCTGTAATGAACACCTAGAATAAAATGCCAATCTCTGAACTGCCTCTCCAGAGAAATAGCTATTCGCCAAGACAAAGACAGAGCTCTCTACCTGGCTTCATGGAAGTTTTAGAGTCAGAGTAGAACTCAAAAGAAACACTCATGATGCAATGAAAGGATGACTGGAACTGTTATTTACCATTTTGGCTTCGGAATGCATTGGCTGGACTTGGGGAGAAGCACAGGGGTTGCTGAGGTTTGGACCTTGCATGCCCATGATGCTGGAGTTCACTGACATTTGTCTCTCCATCTAAGAGAAAGGAAAGCAACAGAATTAGAGGAGAAAGGCAGCCTAGGCCACAAATAAAGCTGCACTTTACTTCCAAATGGATTGTTCAGCACTTCATTGACGAGCTGAGAAACCACAGGCTTAGTGTAGGTAAGCAATGCACTAGTTTGTCTTGAATCTGAGCACACCAAAGAATCATCCACTTCTGTGTCTACTCTAGAAAATTCCCAGTGCCTGGTCATGGTAGATGATGCCAAAGAAAACTATTGCATATTTCCACTTCAACTGTCACTAATCATATGTATTTTTACTTATTGCTATAAGGAATAATACATGCATAAAATGTTAAAATGTTTTGTAATGTTATCTTAGCATAGCCTTGGTATTTTCCTTTCTGCTCTATTTTATATAGTAAACATGAACCATTTGACAATTAAAAAAAAATTAATGTTAAAAGGAACTCTGTCCTCTATGGTGGGTCTTTCTGTCATTCCAGTTCACTGACACAGTCAAAACGATCCAGATGTGCCAAGTATTGGTGGCATAGGCCTATAATCTCAGCGCTTGGTAGGCAGAGCTGGGGGGATCACGTGTCTGAGGTCATCCTAGGCTACGTAAGAAGTTCTAGGTCAGCCTGAGTTATATAGCAGCATCCAAACCCTACCCCAACAACAATCAACTCTGCCTGCAGATAAAAATCTATGTGAGCATTTATGCTGCTGCCCCTTTGGGTACCTCTTCCTCATTTTAACCTGTCAGGCACTCAGCAGCTACAGTGCCATGCCTCACAGTAGGTTTAGGCTTTACATAAAGAAGGAAGGAGCTAGGAGGAATCACACATCACACATGATCAGCTTATCCTATGTGTTCTCCTGCTGGTCTGCCAGCCTAGATTTAATATCATGCAAATACCCAAACACCCTGAACCCTGGCATATTCCGGGTGTTTTATTAAGTTATTACAAGTTAAGGATTCCCCCTCTGACATGCCTTAGATTTTTTTAAAACTCAATTTTAGATGTTTTAGGATTAGGGAATACTTACCTGTACATAATAAGCTATCCAGAAAATGAAATTCAATCCTTAACGTGAAACTCATCCATATTTCAGATCAGCCTATACACACAGCCAGCAGCTAATGTTACATGAAGTTTTTCAGGCAGCAGTATGAATGCCCACATTTTGAATTTTGACTGCTGCACATCATGTGAGCATAGATAGGAAGGGTTTTACTTGTAGCATCGGTGGGGCACTCAAAAAAATGCAGATTTTGAATTTTCAGATTAGAAATAATCAACGTGTATATTCTAAAAATCAACGTGTATATTCAAATTTTATATTTCAGTATAGAAAGGAAGTATGTGGTCAGTAATATTTTCTGTTAAGTGGAAAATGAATACTTTCCGAAGAAAGCAAGTACACTTAATATTAACATCAGGCAGAAGATAATTAGACTTTCTGTGGGAGAGAAATAGATGCTTCAATGTGTTTCCATTTACCAAAGAGGTTGGGAATTTGGGGATACCTCATGCCCTAAGTTAGACTAGGTGACTGTGGAAAGTAGGGAGTTTCTTATCTATGAAAGTTCAAAGTAGAGGGCAGAAATCTCTCCAAGAAGGGGGTAAGCTTGAGAGTGATCTTGAGCAAAATAGTCCTGGAAAAGGTCACGTCTGTTGCTGAGATTCCATAACTATGATTCCTTTGGTGTTGGCCCGAAGCAGAGGGGTCCTGTTACCATGCTGATTTGTGGATTCCAGCAGTACCAGCCAAAAGCTTTTTCCTGACTTGTATCCAGCCTTCTTTTAGCCTGGTTTAGTGGATCTGTTATCCAACAGGGTGTGGGAAACTGTTTCAAGACAAACTAATGAAGGTTCAAGTTCTATGTATTCCAGAGCACTTCAGTCAAACTTTCTGAGTTCTTAACAATTCTGTAAAATAAAAAATTCACTCTCATGTTCGCTCTACCTCTGCAGGCAGCCTAGGTGCTCTACTTTTAAATCATTTAAATTGTGATAAAATATACTCAACATAAAATTTACCATTTTAACCCATTTTAAGTGCTGTTAAGTTTGGTCCCATTAAGCACATTCATAGGCTGTAATTAAGACCTGAGGAATTCAAGAGCTGTATTGCTCAAAGAAAGACATACTACTTAGAACTCCACTCCTTGAGGCCAAGCCATAGGAGAACTAGAATAGCATTTGACCCTTTACACCAACAGGGACTCTGTTGAAGAGGGAAATCAAAACCCAAATTCTGCCTTCAGATTTCCAGGTCTGCTGATTCTAACTAGCAGCTATAGAGCATCGAGAGCAACCTGTGTACAGCTTCTTGGTGGGGAGTCAGCAATCTTGCTAAATTGTTTTTTTGAGTTGTCTTTGATTGTTTCTCCTCTACAGCTCACAAAATACTGGTTTTAAGCAGGTTGATTTCTTTATCTTCTGGTTTGTTTCTCCATTGCTGTGACAAAATACTCTGACCAATATCAGCTGGGGGAAGAAAGGGTTTATTTGGCTTACATCTCCCATGCCACAGTTCATCATAAGGGACCCCAAGGTAGGAACTCAGGGCAGGAACCTGGAGGCAGGAGCTGGAGCACAGGCCATGGAGGAATGCTGCTTACTGGCTTGTTCCTCTGGCCCCTGCTCAGCCTGCTTTCTTATACATAAAGAACAACCTGTCCAGGGGTGGTGCTACCCACAGTGGGCTGGGCCCTCCCACATCACTCAAAAATCAAGAAAATACCCAACAGACATGGCCACAGGCCAATCCAGTAGAGGTAATTCCCCAGTTGAGGTTCCCTCTACCCAGGTGTGTCAAGTTGACAACTAAAGCTTTCCAGCACAATCTATGAAAAAGAAAACCTGCATTTTCCATCTTGTTGATCATTGTCATGCAGAGTACCATCAAGCATCATTTCAAAACTAGAATTCGGGGCTTTGCAGTGCCAGGCCCTGTCTCTACCATAAGCTCGACTTTAAGGAGCTGACCAGGATAAAGAGGCCAGGAAACTGAATGCTTTGCTGAAAGCCCAGGTCCATTTACCATAACTGGTAAAAGGCCAAGATGGGTTGGTAGTTTAGTGGTAGAGCACTTATTTAGCATGCAGAGGCCTTGGGTTCCATCTCCAGCACCAAAGGAAAAAAAAAACTAATAAAGGAAACCTCCTTCACATACTAGAAAACAAGAGCTAGACTGTCTACAGGTTACTCATCTTTTATAATGATAAATGGGTGTCTACTTACTAAAATATGATGATGTTTGACTTTCAAGATAAAATAGCGCAACCCAGTAAAGTCCTTAAAAGCAGTACTACGTATACTCCCTGTATCCTTATCTAACACAGTACTTGGCACATAGGGAGTGTCCAATGAGATGTGTGGGATGGATGGATTGATGGACAAATATATCATTGCACTTCAGACCTAGGCTTTGTGAAGGGTGTGGCCTGGGAGTAAGTGTTACAAAGCAGTTAAGAATCCCAACTTCACCTCAAAGCAGTCTCAACTTTGATGCTCAGAGACTGGAAGTTTCCAGGGACGGGAACTCCAAGGGAAGGGACTGGCCCTTGACTGCGCTGGGAAAGCAGAATCACAGCACAAGAGCTGGTGACGTGAGACTAAGCAAGAAAAGACCTGGATTCCTAGGGCCTGGGACTCCTAGGAGTGCTTCTTTTAAGATTTTATTTCGGTTTTCACTTGTAACATTAGTACCCCTAAAGTTTGGCACTACTGACATTTCGACTCAAATACTTCTGTGCTGTGGGACATTTAACAGAACCCCTGACTTCTACCTATTAAATGTCAGCACTCTTCACCTCTCTCCAGCTGTGACAACCAACAGTGTCTCTAGCTATCGCCTAACGTCCCCCAAGGGGCAAAGTCACCCTCCCACCCCCGCTGTCAGCTCTGGGCTGACACCTGCCGTCATTGTCCACATCTTGGACAATGGTTTGGGAATGCCTGGTGAGGTCATATTCCTGACTTTTCGTCTATACTGGCTTTTGGCCATTCACCTGAATCTTTGCTTCTCTTTATCCTAAAACAGCAACAGCAGGCCAAGTTGTGTGATGGAAGGGATGAAGTGGAAAGTGGTTTGAGGTTCTCAGGGCTCCTGCCTCCCATCTCTATCCCAGGAAGTGGCCTACAACTAAACTGAACAGAATAAAAGATCTCTGTAGTGGCATTTTCTGGTCATTGTGTAGTTCTGAGAAAATGATTTTGGACAAGAAGACTATAGAAGCTAAGTGAGGACTGCCTGTGACAGAAATCTCCATACAACTCATTGAGCTGAATGAAACCAGGGATCATTTCATTGATGATGTAGTTCTCTTCCATCTAAGCAGGTTATGGAGAGCAACACAAGTAAAGTCAACCAGCTCTTCCATCTCTCCTCTTGCTCAAGGTTGCAAAGACTAGACCACTGATCATTTTGCAGTGGGCAGGTCCATTTGTCTGAACTGAGTCCATGGGCTCTTCTCAATCCCTCAGCCTACCCCGCAATAAATAAGTCAGTTGCTCAATAGGAGATAATCTGAGCTACTCAGTGTGAGGTGAGAGTGGATTTCTCTCACAGCTCTTCACTCACACGTAGTATCACATTAGACATGAGACCCTCCAACTGCTTTCTCTTCAGTTTCTCATTCTGTACAAGCTTACCAGAATCACTGCTGCCATATCCCCACAGGATTGCTTTGAAAAGAAAATGACACAACCAGGTTGACAACTCCTTAAGCTTGTTAACATGCTGTGAGTGGGTTCTAGCTGAACTGCTATGTTGGTCTCTAAGGTTCTTGAGAACTCCTGTGCCCCTGCTCATCAAAACACAAAGCTAAGGAGGATGAGGAAGAAGGAATGGGAGGAAACCCCAGGGAAGGAGAACAAGGCTCCCTCTGCTCCTCTACATTTATCTATTGTTGCCAGAAGGAAGCAGAATAGCACACGGATTAAGAGTGGAGAAGATACTGAGATCAGGTGTGATGATGCACACCTGATATTTCAGAGTCAGAGTCAAGAGGATCAGGAGTTCAAGGCCAGCCTGAGCTGTATGGTAAGACTCTAGCTCAAAAAAAAAAAAAAAAAAACATACAAACAAACCAAAGGACTGGAGAGTCGGAAGTCAGACTACTTAGATTTAATTTTGACTGTATCACCTACTTGTCATATGCCCTTCGCCAACTGACAAAACCATCTAAGCTTTCACTTTCTCATCTGTAAAATTGTATGCAAGTGTGAAATTGTATATATGTCAGTGGTTTGCTGTGAGAGTAAAGGAAGCAATGTATCCATTATTTAGTGATTGAAAGAATGGATTTTAGAGCCAGGATTCCTGAGTACAAATCTTAGCTGCTCTGCTTCTAAATGAGCAAGTTACTGACCTAACTTTCCCCATTAAAAAGGAGACAGCTACAGGCCTACCTTACAGGACTGTTTCATGTGCTGAAAAAGTGCTTGGAAAGTGACCAGTATAGAGTAAACAGCCAATAAATGCTGCCAGCATGATTTATAGGACATGATATGCATACACACATATTATCAGCGATCATATAGGATCATTATTTTGCTCTGAGTTCTGACTCAGCTAACAATCTAAGACACCGTATATGACTCAAGACAAGGACTTAGGACAGCAGTCATCTCCTGGCATCCACGGGGGATTAGCTCCAGAATACCAGTCCCTGCTTTGACACCAAAATCTGTGTAGGCGCGGGTCCCTTGTATAAATTAGGACAGTATTTACATATACTCTACACATATCCTCCCATTTATTCTTATTCTACCTAATACAATGTCAGTGTTCTGTAAATAGTTGATATGCGCTATTGTTTAGTGAGTTAATGACAAGAAGAAAAGGCCTAGGCATTCAGAAAACATGCAGTTTTTTTTAAACAGTATTTTCAGTCCATGTTTGGCTGAATTGTAGATGTGGAACCACAGATACAGAGGACCAACTATGGCTATAAAGCAGCATCTTTCTGAACAAAGTCCAATCCTTGGATGCTGTAGGCTAACTGTGACTAACTGGCAGACCACATCTTGCCTCACAGCAAAGCCCCAAAAGATAGGAAAACCAACAAGACACCTGTGGATGGGCACCTGGGCACTCCAGCCAACCTGGCCCACTGCTCACATGTCCTTCCTGGGCAGCTCAGATCTCAGCATTGGCTTTCTTTGCTAGAGCCCCTGTATGAGCAGGAAACCCCTATAAGACCTCCCCCCAAAATGCTTACTGGCATCAAGACTGCAGAAGATCCTGGCATGGTGGGGTTAGGCAGGGTCCCAGGCATGGAGGCTGGCATGGGCTGCCTCTGTCTGTTGTGGAGATGAAGCAGAGACGATAGAGAGCCTGGGACAGGCCTGGAGACAAAGAGAAAAAAAACACATTATTTCTGATGGTCCGGGTCTGCTACTCAGCATCCAGAAGCAGCGGGAACACCAACATCACAGTGCAAGAGATCAGACTCTGGGATGGGAGAGCCACATAATTGAGGATATTAGGGAAATAATAACAAATAAAATACATGTCTGGTTTCCTTTGCTGCTTCCTAGTTAATACATCAAATTCCACATCATTTCCTGACCCGTTATCTGACTGATGTTCAGTTGAAACATGCTGGTGTGTCTCCAATAGCCTCTGCTTCTAAGGAAGAGAGTCTGTGGTGGAGCCCTGCATTTATTCTGGTCTCAGCTTCTGAAGTGTCTTAGAGGTGGGACTCTGGGTGCAGTAGTATTTTAGTCCACACTTTCCCACACCTCTACCCTGCAGCCCGCCTAGCTTTGCTCTGGTTCTACATTCATTCCACATTTGCAGAGAAACTCCATTCATGAATTCCTGGCAGAAATACATTTTGGCTTCTTTGTAATTTCCCACTGTGGGTGGAAAAAAATAAAGGCAGGACACAAATCAACGTAGTTGGATCACAGGACACAGCACTGAAATCAGCCTTTCTCGGAGTGAGCCCAGGGCTGCCCCCGCCCCTATTTCCAAACTCTCATTACACAATAACATGAGATGTTAGGCTGTTTGACAGAAACTGATTTGAACCTTACCTGTAGGATTTGCATAAGAATTTCTCAGGGGAGTATAGAGTTTGAAATCTTACTTCTAACTTACAAATAATAATAATGATAATAATAATAATAATAATTAAAGGCCTTAAGTTGATTTAATGAACCAGAGAATGTAATTTGTGTTTATTTAAAAATAGCAAACAAGTAACTTTATAGCCAAATTCTCAGTCTCCTGGCACTTTTGCTCTAAGATCTGTATAAATGACAAGCCACAAAATTAAAGATAACAGCAAACAAACAAAGCAAAGCAAACAAATCCTGTCAGGACCCTTAAGCTTCTATGTTAAACCATTTTATCCTGTATATCACACCAGACACTCCTACCTCCAGAACTTTATTTTAAAGATAATAAAATAGGTGACCCCCTACCCCCACCCCGCATGCTAAGAAATGGATAACACTTGAAGCTAAAGAAGTTCTGTGAAGATCACAGCGTTCCTGTGGTACAAAGAGCCAGGACTTGCTTGCAGCCCCACCACAGCACAAGGCTCTGTGAAGAGCTTAATCAGAACATTATATCCTCATCAGAACCTCAGCAGAACAGCAGGTCCAGTTCAGAGGCCCATGCTCCTGTCCAGAGCCTCATCAGAGCCCCAGCAGAGCACCATGACCCTGCCTAGAGCCCCAATAGGGCACCGTGGCACAGGTAGAGGCCCAACAGAGAATCATGGCTCAATCCAGAGTGCCATCACAGCACCAAAGCACTGTGTAGAGATGCCAGAGCCCCATGGCCCAGACCAGAGCCCAGCAGAGCAGTGGGAAGAGCTGCTTCTGCAGAGTTCATTTGACCTTCCTTGGTGACTCACAGAAAAGTGGGGACTGAGATGTGGAAAGAACTCCAACATGTTCTTCACATTTCTATTAAAATTCCAAAGAAGATTAAGTTTTCCACTCTTTTTGTCTGAGAGCTTTTTATGAAAATATAGCTAACTATCACAGTCACACACATCCTAGAAGGATTAGACATCAATCAGTCAAGGTTTATATGCTCAGGAAGGTGAACTATGTGAAAACATAAACGAATACAAAGCCATTCCTCAGCTGAGGGTTATGTCCATGTGATTGTGAGTAGGTGCAGAAACAGGCTGGTATCAGCAGCTTGTAATAATACATTGAGTATTTTCAGAAAGGCAAATGAAGTCCTAGGATTATTTCTTGCCATGTATCCCAAGGAACTCTGGAAGAAGACTAATAATAAGGACCAGCCGGGCTTTAAAAGGTCCTTAAGCTTCCATCAGACTGTTAGATCCAAGTGCCCTAAAATACTGTAAGAGGTTGTGACTTTCCCATGTCTATACCACTCCTTAGTGGTAACTAGTACAATCAGATAGGTACAGAATAGGACTCAGTCAACAAACATTTGCTTTACAGTCCCTAGTTTAATGTTTTCTTGGAAACTTTATTGAAAATAGTTGTATGTCAAAACATTTATTGATAGTTTTTCCAAACCCAAGGTTAATAATCTGAACCCTGTAGTTTTATAATGGGCAAAATTCATTGAGAGCATCTCTCTGTAAGATTAGTCACCAGTATATCCATCCCAGTACATCCTAGGCACACTTATCTACACACACATGAATGTATATCTTTTCTTTTCTTTTTTTTTTTTTTTTTTTTTTTTTTGGTCTTTTTGAGACAGGGTCTCCCTGTAACCCCAGCTAATTCAATGTAGACCAGGCTGGCCTCAAACTCACAGAGATTTGCCTGCCTATGCCTCTCAAATGCTGAGATTCAAGACATGCGCCACCATGCCGGCTTAAGTGTATCTCACCTTTACCATGTGTTGGTCACTGGGGGAGAAGCTCCAGGTAGACATCAGGACAAACAAACAAACAATCAGGAAAACAACTGAAAACCTTTCTTCACATTACATTGATCATCCTCTTACATTCTGTTTCTAACCTGACATGTTAAAAATAACCTTGGTCATCAGTTTTTATTTATGTGCTCTTTCTCTTAAGAAAAAAGTAAATCAATTAAACAACCCAATGGATATGAATGAACATGCAAAATTAATCAAATTTAAAATTAGTTTTCATTCCTCCCCAAAGGATGGAAACTCCCAATTGTATAGAAACACTGGGGAGTGGTGAATTTCATTTAATCCAGTGATTAGATTAGCTACTTCCACACCCTGCAGAGACCTACTAGAGTTTAAAACAGTAAGTGTGTCCTCATGACTTTAGAAAGCCTTTCAGGGTAGCTGGCTCCTTTGAGATTAGAATGGTTTCAATGTGATATCAATCGGGACAATTACTTGGAAGGAGAATGATTACTGGAGATCTGTGTATGTCTTGATTCTGAATAATTTTCAGGTTAATATTTTATAGGGATTCTGTGAATTAGTTCAAGCCCCCACTTGCCAAACCAAAGGCGTTTTCTAGGTTTCTTGTTTGGAATTTTAAAGCTACAGAGTTAAAAAGATAAGATCTGTGCTTAGTCATCACTACCATATAAAAGATCAGGGCTGGGGGTATGTCTCAGGGGCAGGGGCAGACAGCTTGTGTATCATGGGTGAGGTCCTGGGCTCCATCCTCAGTATAATAGATAAACAAGCAAAAACTAGGTAAGAATCCCTAGTATCCTTTTATTTATCTATGTCAGTAAGTCTGAAGAAACAATCACTTGTCCAAGGTGTTCCTATCACAGAAGCAAGGATGGTCATGGAATAATTACATGAGCTATCTCACTCCCTTTGCATATATTGAAATACATTTTATTATTTACTACGTATTCCTGCATAAAACATTCTATATGCTGCTTGATGTTTTCAAGTACTTTTCAAAGTGTTTTCATACCCTAATTTTATGTGACTTGAAACATTGCACTGTGGTAGGCCAGTCCAGTCAATCACTCCTGATTTTCTTCAGGAGTGAACTGAATTCAGGTATGTATCCTATTTGCAGGACATGCACATCATGGAAGGGACTGGAGCTTATCCTCCACTTGCAATAGAGAACTCTCCTCATCACACCTCCACGGCTCCCATAACTAGGTTATTATTGATTTTTTTATGCTAAAATAAATTCACGGTCCATTTCCTTTGATAATCACACTGCTCCCTGGACTTACTGTGAAGCAGTAAAATTCCAGAATACTGTTAATACGAGAAATCACTCGTCCATGTGAAATTCTATTTTCTCCTTTTCAAAAAAAAGCAAATAAGCAAAGAAAGCTTCTCAAACAACACATCAATTAGATTATGAAAATCAGATGGTAAAATATAAGTAAAGTTATAAAAACAAAGCCCCAACAGTCTTTCCTCTAGTGCAGGCTTGTTGCCATGAGCCAATAATTCCAGACTTTGAGCAAGCTGGGCCTCCTTTTTAATAACCGTGTGCCTCTAGGTAAAGTATTTCTACTAAAAATTATTGAGGCATGGAACAAGGTAAGATGTGTGAGCTCATGTTGGATTGTTCAATTACTAAACTGCGTCGTGCAGTATTAAGAGTTTTCCAGCTTGACAGATTATTCCTCTTTATACACTTGTATAAACATACCGCTTACGGCTGAAATCTATGTAAGCTTTTCTTTCAATTAAAATGTCAAGGATGACAGACTGTGTTTTCACTGTCCTTAGCAGGATGATAGGTACCATAGCAAGCGATTTCATGTCCTCATTTTTCCCCCCAAAGGATATTTTTCAGTCTGGGGATGTCTGAAAAGTTCAGGCTATGGCTTCCAGCCTTCCCTGCTCCAAGCTAATCTTGCTCTCTCTAAGTAGCTGTGGACCAGTGCCTAGGACTGGAAGATCCAAAGTGGTTCTCTGTAGACTGCTCTCCTTTCCCAGGCCTTCCAGAGATCGCTGGTACCCTGGGGTTGTTTATTAGACTATTGGCGCAGATAGATCCACTGTATGGCCAAAGGAAGGAAGGCAAATCATGAAAAACATTTGCTGCGAAAAGGAATGGACAATGCTGTCATAGAAAGCAGCTACTGGCATGGAAAGACCCTCAGGAAGATGAAGACATGATCAAAGCAGGACTTGGTAGGGGCAGGAGTCTTTTGAAAATCTTTAGAACAAGAAAATGGAAAAAATGCTAGACAGGAAGCAAATTGGGCACCAAGCTGACAGAAACTTTCCGAACTCCCGAACTCTCCATGCCATCTCCTTAATGAACATACAACCTTTAGGCCACCTCAAAAAATCCCTTGAAGCTCTAAACCTCAGACTCAGGGATGTGACAGGAAAGCTGGACGCCTTGAATCCAGCAAGGCTGGAAGTTTCGTTATGATAAGGGTGTTGCCTGCTCACTGCTTCGTACAGACAGTAATCTTGTATCTGG